TAAGCGGTCCATGTCGGGTCCTGAGCCACTCTGAGACTAAGCGGTCCTTGTCGGGCCCTGAAAAGTTTGTTTGAAGAACTTTTAAAGTGTCCGTCTAATCCAAGTGTTTCTCTCTTTTCACAGATATCCAGGAATTTTACGAAGTGACCTTATTGGACAGTCAGAGATGGGCGGAGTCTTCCAAGGGGGCGGAGCCCGTGTCGCCCGTCAACCTGTGGGACTTCCCAAGCCTTCAAAGCACAACAGTGACCTCGGAGACTCTGCCCAGCCTTAGTACCAGCATCGAGGTAAGAACCTACTGGTTCTGGAGCCGGTCCAAACGTTCTCACTCGGGTCCTGCTGCTTGGATTTATTTCCTTTTCCTCATGAAGACAAACGGAGACAGAGACGTCCTGCTGGTGGTAAAAATAGAAAAAGGGTAAAAATAGATCTGGGTTTTTGAAGCTGCTTTGAATAAAGTCTCCTAGTTCCACAGTCTGCTAGTCCTGATTCGGTTGGTATCACGTCTCTGGGTCCAGAACAGACTTCATTTAATGAGTTAATAAAAGTGGTTCTGCCTGGATGGGCTGTGAGGGACATGATGTTGTTCAGAAGGTTCCTGGTCTTCAGGAGAGTTCCTGGTCTTCACCTCAGGAAAACCTGTCCTGTGGGTGCAGTTCTTGCGTGGACCCTTAAATCCTGTCCTTCGGGGAACATCTGGAGGAGGCATACTGCATGAAGAGGAGGATTTTGAGTCAGGTTCAGTTCTGGCAGTCTTGGATTGTTTAGACCCGTGGTCCTCTGTCCTGGTTCTGGAAGGTTTAAAAGTTTCTCACCTCATTTCAAAAACTGAGCGATTACTGGGTCTCTGCAGAACTTGAGGACCTTCTGAAGAGCAGGAACACAGCCAGAACCTGGAAGATGGTGGTCCTCAAGCACCAGAATTCTGGACCAGGGTTAGGACGAGCATCTCTTTCGTGTAAAATGAAGGAAGTTAAAGGGGAAATAAATTTTGTTCTTCAGAAGTTTTGTTTGTTGTTCCATCTCAGAACATTTAGAATTGTTTTTTTTGTTTTTTTAATTTCAGGATATTTTTAATAAAAGATTCAGGTTTTATGGAACATCTGAGACTAATCCAGTCTGAGGTTCTGCTGGAGGAGCAGCGCGTTTTTCTTGACTTCATGGGGCTTTCAGAACCTGGTCCAGCTGCGTCATACTGGACTGAAGGTCCTCTGTAGGGTTCAGGTCTGGAGATGTTTTTAAGAAGAACCTGATGGACTCTGTAACAATGTTAAAACTGGTTTTGGTTCCACCTCACATCTGAAGCTCTGATCCACCATCTCCTTCCAAAGGTCCAGACCCCCCTAAAGGTTCTGGATCAGCGGTTCTCCACACGTTCTTCCAGAGCTTTCTCTGTTTTCATTCAGTTTCTGTCCTACCTGAAGTTTGTCAGAGGAAAAAAACTGGAAATGAACAAACTGGACTCAGAACCTTCGGTTTTGTTCTCAGCAGGTGTTTGGGCTGCAGCCATCACTTGATAAAGACATAGTAGATAGATAGATAGACAGATAGACGGACAGAGATAGAGATACAGACAGACAGAGATAGATATAGATATAGATATAGATAGATAGAGATGGATACAGATAGAGATAGATGATAGAGATAGATGATAGAGATAGAGATAGATAGATATAGAGATAGAGATAGATGATACAGATAGAGATAGATAGATACAGATAGAGATAGATAGATACAGATAGAGATAGATAGATACAGATAGCTACAGATAGAGATAGATAGATAGATACAGATAGCTACAGATAGAGATAGATAGATAGATACAGATAGAGATAGATAGATAGATACAGATAGCTACAGATAGAGATAGATAGATAGATAGATAGATACAGATAGCTACAGATAGAGATAGATAGATAGATAGATACAGATAGCTACAGATAGAGATAGATAGACACAGATAGCTACAGATAGAGATAGATAGAGATAGATAGATAGAGATAGAGATAGATACAGATACAGATAGATTGAGATAGATACAGATAGATAGATTGAGATAGATACAGATTGTGATAGAGATAGATACAGATTGTGATAGAGATAGATAGACAGGGATAGAGATAGATGGATAGAGATAGATGGATAGAGATGGATACAGATAGATACCCAAAGAAAAATGTAGATAGATACAGATAAATATATGGATAGTTACGGATACCTACATATAGATACAGATAGAGAAATAGATACAAATGCAGATGATAGGTAGGTAGATATCGATAGATAGGTGGAAAGATATTGATAGATACCTATAGATAGATAGATAGATAGATAGATAGATAGATAGATAGATAGATACCTATAGGTAGATAGTTGGATGGATGGATACCTATAGATAGATGGATACCTATAGATAGATGGATACCTATAGATAGATGGATACCTATAGATAGATAACCATTCTGTAGACGTTTTTCTTCTAGATGGTGTTTCAGTAATTTTAGTTTTTAATGTTAGTATTTTAGCAAGAACAAAGTCATGCATGTTGCTTTTCTAACTCGATGACTCACAATGTTCACGAGTCTAAATGTGATAAAACTCAAAGCTTGACCCTGAAACTGTCTTTTTACTAAAGCCCGATCGATATGGAAATATTGGTTTTTCCCAAAACCGATTTTGGGAGGGAAAGGCGATGCCGATAACTGATGTAATGGCTGAAAATGTTTGAGCATTGTCCACCCCCAAGAACCTAAACATCTACCGTAGGGCTGGACGATGTGGCCAAAACTTTTATCACGATATAGCTCTTAATTTCGGTCGATAACAATATAATTCCGATATCGATATAAACAAAATAAAAGCCTCAGAAAACTGTACAAATCAATTAATGTTCACCTTTTATTTGTATTCAGCCTCAAATAAATTTTGAAATCACCGTCAAATAAACATAAAAGTCTCAACTTTGTCAATATTAATAGTTTGAACTTTAAAGAACAACATAATCTAAGCCATGCAGCAGGTTTCCCTCTTGATACAGCTGGGGGGATTCAGGGACACGTTGGCTCAAACTTTTATTGTTCTTCATCTTCTGACTCTCAGCAGATTCTGTCCAGTGGAAACTCTTCAGATGAAACAAGTTCTAGTTGGAACGACTTTTGCAGCAACTGACGGAAACCTGCAGTTAATGAGATCTTAGAGAGCCGAACCACTTCCACACCGCTGAACTAGTCTTTCCTCTTATCAGTGATGTCGTCAGCGTCTCTGCGCAGGTAAAACCTGACGCGTGTTGGAGATGAGCCTTTTACCGCTGACTCCTTCTGGACTCGAGCTCTGCGTAACGTCTGCGTCACCACGCAGTCACGTAGTTGTGTCGCACCTTTTTCTGTTCGGGTTGAAACTCAAGCGGCTGCTTCAACCTGAACAGAAAAAGAAATGCGTCAGTGAAACGCTGTCATCGTATCGAAATATTGAAAATGTGCTTAAAACTCAAATCACCGTTACTGAACAAAAGTATATCATGATATATATCGATATCGAATTAGTGTCCAGCCCTAATCTACTGTAAGTTTTGCTGTTGCAGTTGTTAGCATAAATTAGCATGTCTTTGACTTGTACAGTGAAGCAATGCGTTTGTTTTGTTGTTCTTCCCCATGTTTAAAACCCAATTTTTGGCTGAGATCTGACGATTTCATTCATTCTGACATGGAAAATATTGAAAACAACCATTTTCATGCGACTTACACGGCGGTGTGACATGCACGGCGGCAAGTATGATACTTTTAAATCTCTTTTTACACTTGAAGTCTTGCAACAGTCGTCCTAACGTGCGTTCACATCTTCTGTCCTCCACTATTCACCATGAACTAGTGTTACAGAAATATCAATTAAACACAGAAACTCTGTTCTTTGTTCAAAGAGTCACGCAGGTGAAGGTCTGATTAGTGTTGACCTCATCAGAGTTTAGTTTCTTTGTAGAGAAGTAAAGATTTCAGACAGACATTGCATTTCATTGAGGACGACAAAGATAACGTTACTAACACCGATATATTTTACCTCTACGTGAGATTTATTGTTCTGGATAAAGTTTTACAAGCAATAGCTGATGCTAGGTTATCTAAACGTTAGCTTGCTAACTTGAGAGGCACGTAGCTAAAGACAAGCAGGTTGGAGGATTGAAGAGAATTTATTGATTTATTTACAGATCAGTTAAAATAAACTTACTGTGTTCTGTTCAGCAAAATACTCTACACAGTGTTGCTCAGTGCTTCGGCTGCGCTGAAACTGAAACTTAAGTGAACGGCCATGACTTGAAAGTTGTCTTCACGTGCCCTCTGCTGGATACATTGTACAATCTCACTGGTTCCAGTGTTTTAGGGGTGAACATTAGAAGTTTTTATATCTGCACATAATGGGACAATTATCACTGATACCAATATGTTCCCAAAGGCCTATATTGGTCTAAAATATCATCCCTACCGATATATCGCTCAGGCTCTAGTATTTACTAGTGCTGTGATGGTACATGTGGGTGCATTGAACCGTTTTGGTACGGCATGTTCGGGTCGGTCCACGTGCGTACCGTTTTGGTTATTTTTTCACTTATTAAATTTTATTAACGAGAGATTATGCGTCGTGGAACTAAAGTTCCTGCATGTGTTTCAGCACGGTGCTATTATCTTGCAGCACGCGCAGCATTAGCATCTCGTTGTGGTCTCCTGTTTGGGAACATTATGTGTTTCTTGTTCAAAGACGAGTGAACAGATCCAAAGCTGTGTGGACGTTGTTTCACAGAGACTGGATCTGCAGCAGCAACACGTCGAACTTGTTAACGACTTGAAACGACATCGTCTGAACGTGAACGCAGTTCGGTTCAAAGAGCGACAACAGCAGCATTTAAACAACGTTCTCAGGTGGTTCAGATCAGTCCAGAGCAACAACACAAGCTGGAGGAGGTTTTAAAGCTCTGGATCTACGTCTGAATGTTGTTGATGCGTCGGCTTTAAGCATCAAGTTGTTGAGCCGCGCTGCGACATCATCAGCACTTCAGCTAAAGTTGTAGCAGCTCTTTATGAAAAAGATCAACCTGACGGTCAACAAGCCCCGGAGCAGATTTAAATCTGCCACATGATGATGAGCGAGACATTCAACCACCTCATATGACGACCGTGAAAGAAGAGGTATTGTTATTGTATCATTATTATCTAATTAACTTTTTAATTTAAAGTTATAATCTTGACTCAGTTTTTTTAATCTCTGTGTTGTTTGCAGTCTGAGAACAAAGACAGCAGCTGAGGGTTCTTCATCCACCAGATCACCTCCAGATAAGAACTCTGTAATGACTGAACTTGTTCACTTGACATACTTTCAAAATAAACATTTTGTCTTTATTTTGGTCTTTTTTACCGAAAATTAACCGAGCCCTCCCTGAAACTGAACCGAAATGTGCTGTTAGCGCACCGTTACACCCCTACTATTTACCATAGTCTAACTTTATTTTGAAGAGTGACATTTAAATAAAATATAGAATAAAATCACCAAAACTGACATTAAATTTACTGAATTAACAGATTTCTGCCCTGAAATGAGTTCATTTGATTTAACAGATTATATTTAAGAAGATTTCAGCTCATTTAGTCATTTAATAAAAATTTTTTTATGAGGTCCAGCAGAGACTCGTAAAGATCTGGACAGAACCGTTGATCCGGACCGTTTCACGGGCTCACAGGAAAGTCTGGATCCTGGGAGGGGAGGACCGGATCAGGACTTGTGCCTGTGTCTGAACTGGTCTCCTCCTCTGAAGCTGTTTGGATGTTCTGATCCAGTTTGACCCTGTTGTGTTTCTCTTCCCTTTCTGCCCGACCGGAACCCAACGTCCCCGTCCCCTCCCCTCCTCGTAGGACTCCCCCCTCCTAAATGAAATCCTGCACACTTTGGCCCACGCCAAGTCCTCCCCCTGCCAGGACCAACATGTAAGTACCGGACCTCTGCTGCTGTCGGTGGGGGCCTGTCACCTTCACCGCATGCCCCATTCAGTCCTCGTGTGCTTTGGACCATCGGGGTGGGGGGGTCTGGATCCAGGGTCAGTGGAGTCCAAACGGCCTCAGGGTGTGTCTGAGGTTTCTTCACACCTGAATGTCCCTGAAGGACACCAGAGTCAGAACTGGTTCTGGAGCTGGTCTTTACTGGTGGAGGTGAACGTTCTGTTCCTGCTGCTCAGCAGAACTTCCTCCCTGGGTTTTTTCAGAACATTCTGGTACCGTGAAGTAAAACCAACGGGGACGCCCCGAGATGGTTTGTGAGGCGTTCAGGGGCCATGGGTCATTGTGCTTCATTCATTTGGTTCATGTTGTCAGGTCGGATCAGTACACCTCCTGTCCTCCCAGCAGAACCACACGTTTTGGGTTTGTCCCTGCGGACCGGACCCGGCACAGAACCCAAAGAAGGAGAAGGCGTTTCACTGACATCAAAGCTTCATTTTCAAAAGTTTATTTAAATAAAAACGATACGTTTTCACTCAAAGATTAAAAGTTTGAGCTCACCTGAAACCTGCTGAAGGAGCCGAAGCTGGGCAGGTGAAGCTGACAGAAGCAGAACATGAGCTAAAAGCTAACTGAAGGTAAACTAGCTGAAGCTAAAAGAAACGGATCATGAGCTAAAAGCTAGCAGCATTACATAAGCTAAAAGCTATCTAAGCAGAATGTTAGCTAAAAGTTAAGTTAGCATATTAGTCAAGTCAGATTTATTTATAGAGCACATTTAAAATAGAAACTGCTACCAAAGTGCTATTAGCTATAAGCTAAAAGAACAGGAACCCTAGCTTAAAGCTAATGAGTAAAATCATAGCTAAAAGTAAAATAAAAAAGGAAAATTCTAGCTAAAAACTAAATGTAGCAGAACAAAAGCCAGTAATGGCTGAAACATCAGCCGAAGCAGATTTCATAAAAAAATTGAAGTTTTTGAAGGAGCTGAATTGATCTTGATAAAAGTCTTTGGGAATATATTAGTAACAAAACTTTAATATTTTAAAAAGTACAAAAATTACAAAAATCACAGCAGCCATCTCCTGAATGAGCCAAACATTTTGAAACAGCTAAAATAACAGAAAGTCTGCAGGAGAAGTTGGATTGAAAATGAAAACGTATATGAATGTAAAAATGTGTGAATATTAGTATTATTAATAACGGTGCAAGCGCTGCCCCAGCATGAACAACCAAAATAAAGCAGAATAGATTTTAATAAAATGTCGGTTCGTGTTTTCCACCTGCAGACTCAAACAGCTGCTTTGAGTTCGGCACATCTCAATCGTGTCAACATTCATATCGAACTCCGGCCTTCCTGACCCTGGAGCCCAGCTTTCTCTGAGCTTTTATTTTGTCGGGGGAAGTTAGTCGCCTGTGGTGTCCCTCACAGAGACCGGAGCTGTACTGGTGTTCTGACCTTCATGGTGGTGGTTTGTGTGGATTTCCGTTGCAGGTTCTTTAAGGTTCTTTAAGTTTCCTTTGTGTCGTTCTGGTGTTGTTGTGTTGCTCTGGAAAACATCAGCCATCCTCTCATCTGTTCATCTTCCTCAGCTGAACTCAGATGACCAGCAGAGAAACTCTCTCTAAACTTTTCATGTAAATCCTCTGAACCTGTAGTTTGGACAAACTGGACCACCGGTGGAGGCTGAGCTCTGCAGATGGCAAAGCAGACCGAAAACCATCGGGGCAGTTGAACCACATGATGAAGCAGAAACGCGAGAATGAAACGTGTCTAAGCGTTTAAACCACACGACAAAGCGGAAATGTGAGACAAACACGTCGAAGCGTTTGAACCACACGACGAAGCGGAAACGTGAGAATGAAACACGT